GACTTTAAAAAGTTGAATGTTGTCATGCGGCGGTGGTGCACACCTTTAATCCCAGCACCCAGGAGGCAGATGCAGGTCAATCTCTTGAGTTTGAGACCAGCCTGGGCTACAAAGCAAATTCCAGGATAGCCAGGGCTGTTACACAGAGAGGCTCTGTCTTGAAGCAAAAAAGGTTGAATGTTAACCTTTTTTATGTGAAGTCATCCATTTTAAAATGTAGCTCACTTTTTTTAAACACTAAAGGCCGAACCCAGCAGATCTATAGGCTAGATTTGGCTCCCAGATCGTTCATTGGTTTGCAGCCTCTGGTGTAATTATTTTAGGAAGTGAACTAAGGTTCTGGCAGAGGTAGAACACTGAGCCATAATGACACCATCCTGTATCTTTGCTGAGCTTATAAAAGGCTATAGAAACAAAACACTTAGGTATCCACATTATTTTCTAGACTATAGGGAATTGTGGTTCAGCAGAGCTCTGGGAGAGCTTCCTCTGGTTGGGAGGAGGGATTCTTTAAGGAGAAATCCCAGCAGCAGTGGCTTGTTCAGTAACAGAACCCATTGTGCCTTGTGGGGCTGGGCCAGTACTCCTGATTTAGGTAGATAGCTTTGCAATCAAAGGAACTCTCTTTATGATGATGCCACTATTGAGCGTAATTTCTGTGCCTCTAGTCTTTGTCTTGCCATCAAAAACTAGGAATCCCAGTCATGTATTGCATATGCTTCAAATCCCAGCACTTGAGAATTTTAGACAGGGAGACCACTGAAGTCATAGGCCAGCTTGGGCTAAGGTGTGTAATCTGTCTTTAAAGAAAAAGGAGGGCTGAAGAGATGCCTCCATGCCTCAGAAGTGTGATGACAGAAGTTTGGATTTCTAGAACCCATATAAAAGCTGCTTGTAATTCCAACACTGAGGAGACAGAGATGGGATTCGTGAGGCAAGCTAGCAAGTTAGACTAGCTGGAATGGGTGAGTTTGGGTTCAGCAAGAGATCCTGCCAGCAAATAAAGAGAACACAATCAAGGAAGATATCTGAGATGAGATTTAGGCCTCCATACACATGTGTACATGTACACACCACACCCATTTAGGAATACACACAAAGTGACAGGAAATAAGGCCTCAGCCCTCTTCTGGTTCATGTGATCCTATCTGTTGGCTTAACTTTTTAGTGAACTAAAGGAAATTAAAGTGTTTGAACATTATATAGTCTTCAGGAGATATTACATTTGAATGTTTTGTTCTACTATAAAATACTAAACAGCTATCCATATCAGTGCTATGTAAGAGAATGTCTAAGGCAGAAGAGCAAGCATTATTAAGAATACATGAGATAATGGTTGAACAAGACACTTAACCTATGAGTATAACAGAACATTGTTAGGAGTCATTTTATTTCTATGTTTCGTTAGCAGAACAGTAGTATTTGGTTTTCTCTAAGCCCCTGGCCTGTCTAGTCTCAGGTTCTTGGCCACCCGGGCAGTGGCAGACATGGGTTCATCTCATGGAGTGGGCCTAAAATCCAATCAGATAGTGATTGCTTACTCCTACAGCTTTCGTGCCACTATCGCACCAGTGCGTTGTGCAAACAGTTCACCATTGCTGAAGGAAGGGGTTGTCGCTGCTTTGGTGTTTACCTTTCTCCTCTGGAAGCATGCAGAGTACCCTTTAGTACCATGAACACTAATCAGTAGGAGTGAAGGCTCTAGGTAGACACTAGCTCAGCTTTTCTGTAGTCAATGAGTTATGTAGGTTTTGTCTTCAACAATAATGCCTTTTTATAAATTTGTAGAGAGCAACCAATAGCCTTGGTAGTAGCCTGAGTTGTTTGGGGGTTTCCCTTGGGCCTTGGAGGCAGGATTATAAGAGCCAGGGGGGATGGAAGACACCAAGGAAACAAGGCCTTCTGGACACAACAGGGCTGATGCACATATGAAATCACAGAGACTATGCAGCATGCACAGGGCATGTACAAGTAAGCCAGATGGAGTCTCAGCACTGAGGGGACAGAAGCCCCCATCCCTAATGAAGAAACTATCTCCAATTGACAACCACTCACAAAGGAAAAATTTGTTTTCTCCAGCGGAGTCTCATATTTAAGTACAGGCTCAGTGCCCAGCAATAGATGGCCAACATAAAATGAACTCAGTGGAATGCTTGGCATTTTGTTGTTGCTGTTGTTTTGTTTTATTATAATAATTTTTTTCGAGGTATTTTTTTACCCTTACAGGTCTCTTGCTCATATATTATGGTTTCTGATTTTCTGTTTTTATGGAATTGCTATATGTGTAAGTGTATGTGTTTCTTGTCCTTTTTCTTTGGCTCTTTTTTCTTCCTGCTTTTTTTTTCAGTTGCCTGTTTTCTAATGAGGGAGAGAAAGAAAGGGTTGTAGATTTCGTGGGTAAGGAGGTGGGAAGGAGTTGGGTAAAGGGAAACTGATCAGAATATATTGTACAGAAAAGTCTATTTTCAATAGAAAGAAATTGAATAGAATTATTAGTGAAAAATAAAATAAAAATGAAGAGTACATGAATAATTACATTACAAAAGGCATCTTCTCTAGCTCTGCACTTTTGTATACCCTAATTTAACTAATTTGTACAAGAACTCTTTCCTTTGCTCCCAGCTCTCTCTCCATCTCCCCACATACACAGAACTTTCTAGTTAGATAACAAACCACTGAGAGCTCACTTTTTTTTTCCAGCCAGTGAAAGAAAGGAAGTCAGTTATCTTTGAGTATTTATACTGGAATTGTTAATGATACCTACCAGTGACAGTGTGTAAAACCACAGAGAATGCAGGTTTGGGATTTGAGTTACGATTTTGCCATAAGTGTGTTCTCTGAATTCATTTTCTTATTTACAAAATGGAGCTTATTACAGGTACCCTTGAGGACATAGTTGTTTAGTAAATGAGAGCTAATAATAGTGGTAAATTAAATGGAAAGTTTGTGCTGACAGAGCACTCAGAACTACATGGATGGAGCCTTGCTTTAGCACTCGAAACCAATTCTAGTTTACTCTCATCTTTTCTTCTGTCTTGTAGTAACTGTATTGGCTTTGTGTTGTAAAATCTTCTAAGTATGGTCAGGAAATTTTTACAAAGATTTTTTTTTTTTAGTTACTATGAAATCTTGAGCGTTTGAATACTTCAGAGTTCTTCGTTAAAATTTCAGTTAAGTAGTCATGGGTTGTTTTGAATATAGCAGTCCCTCAGTGGTAGGAAAGCTGTTACCATTTATTTCTAATTATTCACTAAAGTATAAACTAACAAAAGAAATTAAATACAAAATTTTGAAGCCTATTTATAATAAAGAAGATTGTGGGATGGCTTAGTGATTCAGTGTGTAGAGGTATTTACTACAGAACCTAAGGATCTGAGTTTGATCCCCAGGACCCATATGGTGAGAGGAAAGAACCATTTCCCTGGAGTTATCATCTGGAGCCTCTCCACATTCACTAGGTCATGTGTGTACACACACACACACACACACACACACACACACACACACACACACACACGCGCGCGCGCGCGCGCACGCACAAATACACGAAAAGAGAGAAAGAGAGCTAGAGAGGTGGCTCAGAGGTTAAGAGTACCTATTGCTCTTGCAGAGGACCTAGATCCAGTTCCCAGCACCTACATAGTAGTTAACAATCATCTGTAACTCCAGTTCTTGGGACTATGTTGTCGTCTTCTCACTTTGGCAGGCACTAGGCACACATGTGGTACATATACATACATACATACATGCAGGCAAAATGTTCAAATTCATAAAAATAAATCTCTAAAAAAAGAAATAGAATATTGATATATGTATGGCTTAGGCCTGTGTCTTAAAGTTTTGGCTTCTACATGTTCTATGCAGATGTTTATTTTCAGTCTTCCTTGACTATCAAGTGGCTGAACACAACAAAAATATGAAATTGTACAGTATCCACTGTGTACTTTTCTAGTTTATAAAAAATGATAATAATATAAAGAAATATGTTGGTTCATTGACCTTTGATGCCACCATTTGATTTAGAAGGCATTTGTTTCAGTAGTTACCTTATTATTAGGTGCTTAATTTGAGTAGTTCTAGGGAAGATTGGGGAACAGTTTGATTTTCCAGACACTAGTCATACAACCTACATCATTAGTACTTGTTTCATTGGTACCACAACTATGCAAAAGCCTCAGCAGTCAGGTCTAGCTAATAATGAGTCTCCACCATCACTTTGAAAGCAAAGTTGATACATTTCTGTTTGTCTGCTCAGTTTGTTTCATTAGATACGAGGTTTCCTTGACATGAATTTCAAATTCAAATCTTTTGTCTTCAGAGTACAGGGAGAATATAAATCATGCAAGTATTCTTAATGGTATGATTGTCAAGTCTTTATGTCTCGATTTCATTATTCTAGGTATCAGAAAAATGACTATGCCTTAGAGGAGTGATATTATAGACCTTGGAAAAACATGAGTGATTGTACATAAGTAGAATTTCTCAAGGTTAAAAAAGTCTTGTTGCATAATAATAGTAATAATAATAATAATAACAATGTAATATACTGTATGCTTTTAGTCTGGCTGCTGCTTTACTTTTTCCAGAATTAAAGTGAAACTCTGTTTTGGTTGTTGTTGTGTTTTTTAAACACTAATTTGATTGGCTGTACTACATCAAAAGAAATAAATTGTATTTGTCCATTTTGTAACATGGGGCCTGGGTATAATTATTTTAGTTTTCTTGATTTTAATAAATTGATGGTGTCTGAATAAAGTAAAATATGGAATTAGACTTAACCAAACTTTTATTTCTTTTAGTAGAAAATGACAGAGGTGTTGGAAGATCTTTACTTTTGGAAGTCCTGTTAATACCCATTTCCTAAGAGACAGTTGACCAACATTTACTCTGGCATGGCGCAAAGCAGTCCACAGCTTGATATTCAGGTTCTCCATGATCTCCGACAACGTTTTCCCGAAATTCCAGAGGGTGTGGTATCTCAGTGCATGTTACAGGTACATTTCCTGCCAATGATGGTACAGTAATGGTACAGTTTTCCTTGTTAGAGTTGGCATTGTGTTGTGGAGTGCTGTTGATATTGTGGGGTAGATAATTCTGTGTTGAGGAGCGGGGCTACCTTGTGACTGATAAGCACTCCTCCATTCAGAAAGGGGCAGGCCTCCCATGGGAGTCAACAAAGCATGGCATATCAAGTAGAGGTAGGACCAAGCTCCTCCCCCTGCATCAAGGTTGGCAAGGCATTCCAGCATGGAGAATAGGTTCCAAAAAGCTGACTTCTGCACCAGGGACAGGTCCTGATCCCACTGTTAGGGCCCCCACAAACAGACCAAGCTACACAATTGTTACCCACATACAGAGGGCCTAGGTCAGTCCCATGCAGGCTTCCTAGCTGTTGGTCCACAGTCCATGAGCTCAGGTCAGCTGTCTCTGTGGATTCCCTGTCTTGATCATGAGCCCCTTTGCTCCCACAGTCCCTCCCCCCTCTCTTCATCTGAACTCCTGGAGCATGGCAGAGTGCTTGGATCCACAGTGTGGATCTCTGCATCTGCTTCCATGAGTTACTGGATGAAGGTTCTCTGATGACAATTAGGGTAGTCACCAATATGATTACAGGAGAAGGCCAGTTCAGGTACCCTCTCCACTGTTGCTAGGAGTCTTAGCTGGAGCTACCCTTGTGGATTCCTGGGAGTTTCCCTGGCACCAGGTTTCTCCCTAACCCCAAACTGGCCCCCACTATCAAGATCATTACTTTCCCCCTCTGTCCCGCCCCCAACTCGACCAACCAGATCCCTCATATTCCTATACCCCACCCCACCCCACCCAGTTTACCCTAGGAGATCTCATCTATTTCTCCTTCCCAGGGTGATCCATGTGTCCCTCTTAGGTTCCTCCTTGATACTTAGCTTCTCTGGGGCTGTGGATTGTAGCCTGGTTATCCTTTGCTTTACATCTAATATCCACTTATAAGTGAGTACATACCATGTTTGTCCTTCTGAGTCTGGGTTACCTCACTCAGGATGATTTTTTTTTTCTAGTTTCATCCATTTGTCTGCAAATTTCATGATGTCATTGTTTTTCTCTGCTGAGTAGTACTCCATTGTGTAAATATACCACATTTTCTTTATCCATTCTTCGGTTGAGGGGCATCTAGGTTGTTTCCAGATTCTGGCTATTATGAATAACGCTGCTATGAACATAGTTGAGCAAGTGTCTTTGTGGTATGATTGAGTATCCTTTGGGTATATGCCCAAGATTGGTATAACTGAGTCTTGAGGTAGATTGACTCCTAATTTTCTGAGAAACTGCCGTACTGATTTCCAGAGTGGCTGTACAAGTTTGCACTCCCACCAACAGTGGAGGAGTGTTCCCCTTTGCTCCACATCCTCTCCAACATAGGCTGTCATTAGCATTTTTTATCTTAGCCATTCTGACAGGTGTAAGATGATATCTCAGAGTTGTTTTGATTTGCATTTCCCTGATAGCTAAGGATGTTGAACAGATCTTTAAGTGTTTCTCAGACATTTGAGATTCTTTTGTTGAGAATTCTGTTTAAATTTGTACCCTGTTTTTTATTTGGATTGTTCAGTATTTTGATGTCTAGTTTCTTGAGTTCTTTATATATTTTAGAGATTAGCCCTCTGTCAGATGTGGGGTTGGTGAAAATCTTTTCCCATTCTGTAGGCTGCCGTTTTGTTTTATTGACAGTGTCCTTTGCCTTACAGAAGCTTTTCAGTTTCAGGTGGTCACATTTATTAATTGTTGATCTCAGTGTCTGTGCTACTGGTGTTATATTCAGGAAGCTGTCTCCTGTGCCAATATGTTCAAGGCTACTTTCCACTTTCTCTTCTATCACGTTCAGTGTAAGTGGATTTATGTTAAGGTCTTTGATCCACTTGGACTTGAGTTTTCAGATTTGATTTAAATAGTAGCTTCTCACTCTTGCTCAGCATGATTTTCAGGCAGGACAAGAAAATAACATTTTGCAGTCTAATTATTCCTAAACTTCAATTAGTACTTCTTTCTGTAGTACTTTTCAAGTACTTTGTATAAGGAAAATAAAGTTACTTACGGTTTTTTTTTTTCAAGGAAGCAAATTCTTTAAATTCCTTAGATTTCATTTTGCAAATGTTTGCTTGACTATGGGTTTGGTGGTTATTAACTTCTTAAAGCTCTAACTTAATAATGTCTTTTGCCCACACATCTTTCCCTGTGAAATGGCTATGTAGAAAGAGCACTGGGACTTGAGACCAGGGACCTGAAAGTGTTGTCCAGTGGACTAGTTCAGTGCCTTTTATGAAGCCATGCCACTTGCCAGTCTTCTTTTTCTGCCTCTGGAAATGTTGGTGGGACTGTAGATGAACTCTAAATTTGTCTCAACACTACCATCACTGCATTGCATGTCCTGTGGTAGACTTAATGTTTTAATTGATTCTCTGAAGAAGTGAAGTATTTCCTTTCATTTTCATGTAAAATGCACTTATGTATAATAACGTGTATTTTTGAGTTACAGAGAAATTCATGTTCCTTAAGAATTTTGTAATTATTTCAAAGGCAATAAATAATGTTTCTTTTATTCTAATCAAATAGTTGAGAGTTCTGTATTTTAATGGAAACTGCTTTACAATATCCCTTAAGATGTTTTAAGCATTTGATTACTGTCTGTTGGAACTTCTCAAGAACAGTTGTTATCTGTGCATAACTAAAAAGCTATTCCAAGTATCTTAAATTGCTGTTCAGCTGGTACAAACTTGGTATAGTGCATGTCATTAATATAATCTGGATATGGTTATTAAATTCTCATTAACTCTGACAAAATCATGAAGGCATGGGTCAAACTATGGAATTTTGCCTGTTCCTCATTTTACTTATTTTGCTTAAATCTTTAAAGGTATTTGGGGATAAATTTGGATAAAAGAAAAGTAAAGGCTGTGGCATTTTTATTGTTTAAAATCTTCAGGAATTTTTTTCCTTTTGTGGTTCTGGTGCTTTTTGAAAACTAAAGAATGGTTATTTTCATTTTTATCAGGTTAAACATTAATGATGGATGTTACAGCAATTGTGATGAATCCGAGAGTAGCACATTTTAAGTTGTTGAGCTGCAACAAGTGTAAAATGAGTCCTGCATTTGGAATGAGAACACTTGGGGTTGAGTCACAGTGTTCATTAGTAGGTGCTTTACATTTCTGTAGTAGTAGTGGTAGTTCTAGTAATGTGAGCTCAATGCTTATAATTTGAATTGTTTAAGATTTCTTTTGTAGGACAGATGACTGTAATGGTTTTGATAATGAAAATACTCCTCTCCTTTGAATCTATGACAGTATTTGTGTCACTGACTTGCACTCTTAAACTTGGTTAATTTTGCCAATGTTGTTTGTACCATTGTCTCCCATAGAATAACAACAATCTAGAAGCCTGTTGCCGAGCCCTTTCACAGGAGAGCAGCAAATACTTGTATATGGAATACCATAGTCCAGAAGACAATAGGATGAATAGAAATCGCCTTTTGCATATTAACCTGGGCATCCATTCTCCTAGTAGCTACCACCCAGGAGATGGAGCTCACCTTAATGGTGGTCGAACACTGGTACATAGCTCAAGTGATGGACATATTGATCCTCAGCATACAGCAGGTAAACAGCTGATATGTTTAGTTCAGGAACCACACTCAGCTCCAGCTGTTGTGGCTGCTACTCCCAACTATAATCCATTTTTTATGAATGAACAGAACAGAAGTGCAGCTACTCCTCCTTCACAGCCACCTCAGCAGCCATCTTCCATGCAAACAGGAATGAATCCATCTGCTATGCAAGGGCCTTCACCACCGCCACCTCCGTCCTACATGCACATACCTCGGTATAGTACAAATCCAATTACTGTTACAGTGTCCCAAAACCTCCCTTCTGGACAGACTGTACCAAGAGCTTTACAGATTCTTCCACAAATTCCAAGCAATCTCTATGGATCTCCTGGCTCTATTTATATTAGACAGACATCTCAGAGTTCATCAGGAAGACAGACGCCTCAGAATTCTCCATGGCAGTCCTCAACACAAGGCCCAGTGCCTCATTACAGCCAACGTCCTTTACCTGTTTATCCACATCAACAGAACTATCAACCTTCTCAGTATTCTCCCAAACAACAGCAGATTCCTCAGTCAGCTTACCATTCACCACCCCCTTCTCAGTGTCCTTCACCCTTTAGCTCTCCACAGCATCAAGTACAGCCCTCGCAGCTGGGCCATCCAAGCTCTCATGTGTTTATGCCACCTAGTCCTTCAACTACTCCACCCCACCTATATCAACAAGGACCTCCTAGTTATCAGACACAGGGGAGTCATTCAGTAGCTTATCTCCCTTACCCAGCATCTAGCTTACCCAAAGGTTCCATGAAGAAGATAGAAATTACAGTTGAACCTTCTCAAAGACATGGGACAGCAATAACTAGGAGTCCTTCGCCCATCAGTAATCAACCATCTCCAAGGAACCAGCACTCACTGTATACAGCCACCACGCCACCTTCCAGTTCCCCTTCAAGAGGGATATCTAGTCAACCAAAACCTCCATTTAGTGTTAATCCTGTGTATATTACATATACACAGCCAACTGGACCCTCATGTGCTCCATCACCATCTCCTCGGGTGATACCAAACCCAACTACAGTTTTTAAAATTACTGTAGGCCGAGCAACAACTGAAAACCTTTTAAATTTAGTGGACCAAGAAGAACGTTCTGCAGCACCAGAACCTATTCAGCCCATTTCAGTGATACCAGGCTCCGGGGGAGAAAAGGGAAACCACAAGTATCAGCGGAGTTCTAGTTCTGGATCAGATGACTATGCCTATACACAAGGTAAACTTTAGACTGATGAAATTGAATGCTTATAGTCAATATGTGGTAATTGATTGGAAATAAAGCACTATTCGCTATTTACTTTCAATTAAATGCTTAGTATGTAGTAAACGTCAAGTAGTAGCATTACCTAGAGTAAAATTACTGTTTCAGAGTCATCTATTGGCTGTTTTAAAATAGGAAACTGCAAGTATGATCATTGTAACCTTGTAACCTAATAAGACTTTATTGGGGATATCATTTTTTGGGGAAAATATAGACAAATACAATGAATATTGTGAAAAAGTTGAATACATCTTTGGACTATGGTTTATCAAATCAGAGAATTTGAGTCTTATAAACAGACTTGGAAAAGGGCATAATGATATTTATAAGTGATGATATAAGAAGTGGAATAATGAAGAAAATGTGTATTGTCTAGGGAAATTGAAGTTAAAAAGTCTATTCAGAGTCTTTCAGATTGTATCAGAATAAATGAGAGTTTAGCTTTCTTTCAATATTTGAGAAGGGAACTCATAATTGTGATTCAGAATGCCTGATATTGAGAGAGAGAGAGAGAGAGAGAGAGAGAGAGAGAGAGAGAGTATGTATGTATGTATGTATATGTGTGTGTGTGTGTGCGCGCGCGCAAGTGCAAGCAAGCAAGCAAATGTGGGCCTGCTGTGTGGAGGTCAGAGGACCATTCTTAGCATTCCGTTCTCTCCTGCCACCTTGTGGAATCTGGAGATGAAACTCATGGCTGCATGAAAGTGTGTTTACCTGCTTAGCCATTTTGCTGGTCCTTAAGCATTTTAACACACATACAAGTATAGATTAAAAGGCTCTCAGGAAAACAAAATGTGACAGAACAAGAGGTATGAACAGATGATGCCATTTTTTGGTGGTAGCTTAGAGCTAAATTAAGCAGAAATGGATATAACACAGGATTACTAAGACCTTAAGAGTAAATGTTGATGCCCAGGTCAAATGAGTCTTCTCTGTCCATTAACAGTGTATTTAGAAATTCTCCTGTTACTTGTTTGGTGTTATTTTCTGCATTGACTTTATCTGTAATGCTATAGCCTTGCTGTTACATCAGCGAGCAAGGATGGAGAGGTTAGCAAAACAATTGAAACTTGAAAAAGAGGAGCTAGACCGGTTGAAGGCTGAAGTTAACAGTATGGAGCATGACCTGATGCAGAGACGGCTCAGAAGGGTCAGTTGTACTACTGCGATCCCCACGGTAAGTGATCTGTTACAATATATAATGATAGGAGGAGAGGGACATTCTCTGTTCAAGCCATTTGTTTCTCTTTCAAGTTCTATTTCTGGCTGAATTAAAAAAACAAAAAAAGACAACAACAAAAAAATGAATGCAAGAGATTTGCCCCCAGCAGCTCTTGTTAGAATAATTAAATGCTTTTTCACACTTGCACTTGCTCATGATTATTTTCAAAGACTAACACTTACAATTAGAGTATAGAATTTATTGCAAGAATATATGATAACAAAAGGATTCATAAATTACTCTTCTCAGCATAGGCAGTCTATTTTTCTAAGTGTTTCAAATGAGTTTAAATAAACACTAATTTTGAGGAAGTATTAGTGTTAGAATATCTGAAGGCATGGTCGTTTCATTGTGTGTAACTGTAGAAACTGAGATGTTCAGTGTGGACCATTAATGGTCTTAATGAAATTAGTAAAGAGTTTTTATATTTTTAGCCTGTTGCATAATGTATTTGAGTTCTAATGACGTTACATAACTTTGAAAACTGAAATATATGTCCTTCATCGTGTCACCTTTTCTGTAATTCAGTTATCTTTTCACTATTCAATATTCATATATTCTGTATATTTTTATGAATATGGTACTATGTTAGGTGCTTCTGTATATATTTATGAGTATGGTACTATGTTAGGCGCTCAGTAATCTTCAAGTGAAAAGAAGTAGACTTCTGTGGTAATTGCTGTATTTGCTCATAGGTAATGAAAGCAATTGCACATTAACTAGTTTATGAATATAATCAGTATATATCTCCACTTTCTTACCTCATCCTAGAATGATCTTCCAAAGCTTCATGTGTGTAAATCCTTTCTCTTCAAGGGTATTCATTTTCTTCCCATCTCTAAACCTGGGGTAATCTGGCTCTTGAATATATATGTGAGGCTTCTTGTCCTCAAGATGGCTGCAACTGCTTTCTTGGAGAGTTTGCCCTGCATTATATAGACAGAGAGGAAAGGGGAAGTTACTCTTGAAGGAAAATAATATAAGGTACTTAAAGCTTGAAGTGAAGACAGTCTTACTTTCAAGACAAAGTAAGTCAAGTTTCCTTGCTTAGGCCTGAAATTTCTAACAAGTTTATGGAAGTTAATGTGTATAAAGGTAGAATGGAGTGGAGAGCTTGAACACTGGGTCAAGGTGCTTGAACTTAATTCTGCTGTTAAGAGGGAACTAGTAGAAGCTTTTTGGGGAAGAAGATTCTTGAGAAAGGCATACTCAATAAATTAATGACTTTCTACTATTAACTACATTCCTCAGTTTAGGCAATGTTAGCAGGGAGAGCTTTAATTACAAAAAGCACTAGAAGAATTGCAAAGCTAACTAAAATGAGTGATGTTAGTGTAAATCAAGTATCTTTCTGATAACCTTTATTTGAAATCTTCTTTGACTCATTTGTTGAGAGAAGGTAGCAAAGAGTAGTTAGGCAACTTGTAATCATTTAGGTATCTGTAGAGTAGTTATTTCTTGTTAAAGCTTTGCTTTGAAACACCTAGTTTTTAACTCCAGCTAAATAAATCCCTGTTTTTAATTGGAAGTAGAAAACTTTTTGGCATGGCATTAATTACTGCTTCAAATAAAAACACCCACATTTTATATTGGATTTTTTTATTGGTGGGTCATTTTTTTTTAGAAAGGAAAAATTGGTAGACCCTCCCTGGGCTGTAGTTTATGGTTTATAATTTAAAACATAAAAATGAAATAAATCAAGTGTAGCCATCTCTCACCTACAGAAATTATAGTTCATTTGAGTGCTTGTATTTCGCCAGCACACTTAGAATAAGTTGGACGACAGTAGGAGTTGGTTGAGGGCTAGTTACTATGTACATGAAGGTTAAGACAGCACACTTAGAATAAGTTGGACGACAGTAGGAGTTGGTTGAGGGCTAGTTACTATGTACATGAAGGTTAAGACAGCAAGTAGGTTTTCAAGTGCAAATTTTCAGATTCCACTACCTGTGTCAGTGACTTCTCCTTGGATAAGTAATGTCTGTCCTTATGTTCTCATCTCTAAAACACATACAGTAGAATACCCATGTTATGAAATTTTCTTTAGAATTATATCAGGTATGTTAATTTATACAATGTTCAACAAATAGCAAGTGTCTTTATAAACTAGCTTGGTAACAAATGCTGAAACATTTTGCTTGAAATAGAGACACACACAAATCTGAAGCATTTTATAGAACCAAGTTTCTTTTAAGATAGCAATAAGGTACAGTTAGGTGGAAAAAGGAATGAAAAAAACCAATCATTTAGTCAGAATTTCCAGTTAGTTCATTGAGTCTCATTTGAAGTAATACTCACATGAGTATTGGGAATCAGAATACCTCTGGCACTTACTGGCTGAATTGACTTCTCATTAAAGGGAGTTATTATAAGAATATTATAATATTGTCCACATAAGGAGACAATGCATGTACTGTGTGCCTTGGGTGGCATTAAGTACTCAGCAAGTTGCTTTCTTTATGATCATCACACTTGTGTATATGGATACCAGAGAACTGACACTTTTGTTAATATGCACACATTGTTACTTTCAGGTTTCCAAACAATTTCTTACCAAGTTGTGCATTAAAAATAGGAGAAAAGTGCTTGGCTAATGAGACTAGAATGTGCATTTCTGACCAGCAATATGTATAGTTGCAGAAATTTTGAGTAGCAGTGAAATAATTTTTCAAATGATAGCAAAAATATACTGATGGTGTCCTTTTTCTTTGGATTGCTGTTTATCATATTTTATTAAATGGTTCATAATATGTCATCTCTCAAAGAGATTCATGTGAAAAAGAAATGTTAGTCTTTTTCTAATAATGTTCATAGAGGAGGCAGAGTTTTAAATTTTACTTTGAAAAATAAATAAGATTTTAATATGGAGAGAGCTGCCAGTTGTCCCCTCCCCCAAAGTCATTTATCCAAATTCATCCTCTTCTAATTTAATTTTGGGGATACTCCATTGCTTTGTGTCTTGGTTATATAATTGGGGCCAAGGAACCAAAAACCCATCAGTGATCTTCAATATTGGTGTCTATGAAACTAAATTTTAAAGTTCCAAAACAATTGACTTAAGAGATTTCTACTACCTTTTCAAAATAGCATTGAATCTTTTATTTGGAAATGTCAGCTACAAACATTCTTTTGGCCTACATGTAAGTCTAAATTATTATAATTTATGGTGAGTCTGAATCTTCCGTGGAAACACTGTACTTTTGATAAATGACCCTTCTCAGAAATAGCTACTCATCTCCCCCTGTTTAATCAGAAGAAAAACAGATAAACCCTAATGAATTCAAATGGTCCTGTGTCTTAGAATTGATGAGAATGATTTTGGTTAAAAGCAAATGTGTAGTAGCCTTTTGACTATAACATGTGTTACTAATATTTTCATGCTAAGTTTACAAAGCGTCACTACTCAGGGCTACTATGGCTAAAAGTTGTTTTTTCCTGTTGCAAAACATATAGGAAGGATAAGCCCAAGGTACTGAACTCACAAAGTAAGGGTTCACTTAAGTGTTCCTAGGAGGAAGAAATCATCCATGTTCATGCTCAAGCATGTGTTTTACACTGTTTTCATATTACTTGGCATAAGCATTTTCCTCATTAATATCACACACTTTGCCCATTGAGATGAAGAAAGAAAAGCAGTTCTTGTTGTTGAATAGCATTCTGAGGTCTTAGAGCTGTTTTTAAGTTAAAACGCAGTTTGATATTTGAGACTAAATAATGATAGTCACAAGGTCATGAGATAAGTAGGCACAAAACATGTGTAAAATTAACAGTCATCAAATGCTCTTAAATAAGTAGGTCATATACAAACAATATCCAGAAATTGCTCGTAAGCCTTTTTACATCACTGCATTGAACTTTTGGTCCCTGCTGGTTTCTGGGCATTCCCACTTACTCTATTGCAATCCCAACAGCACACAGTATCCTTTCTGCTCTTTTTTAGTTTACTATTAACCTGTTTAGTCTTTGACAAAATACACACTTTAACAATAAATTCCTCCCCCCCCCCCCGCTCTCTTTCTCTCTCGCTCTCTCTCTCTGTTAGTAGATAATTTAGCATACTTTATGCAATTGAAATTACTCTAGTAATTGAGCTAATACCTGAGCTGTGTGGAGAAAGCTTCAGTATCCATGCCACTAGAGTCCAAGCACAGAAAGTGTAAAGAAATTAAGAATGGTATGGGAATTGACGGCTTATTAAAAAAGTTTGTTTCAGTGACTGAAAGACCCTCAGGGGTGGAATGAACTGGACAGGCCAAAGAAGAAACAGAGGAGTCCATTGGTACCTGATATTTCTCTGTGTTAAAGTGTTTCTGCTGATCTAGAAAAAAAAGAAATATGTCTGCACATACACACACACATACACACACATTTGTCTAAGTCCTTGCTCTACCAGTTGCTCGCTTTATACTTTTGGGAAACTTAACCTCTCTATACTGTTTTATCATTAGTAATTCCATGTAATGTAACACTACCTACCTCAAAAGCTCCTTTAGCAGAAGAAATGAGAGAATTCTGTGAACCAAGTACCTGAAGCTAAGTAAGCACTATTTTTTTTTACCAGGTTAGACAAGACTAAAATCATGAACATTGCTAATTTAAAAAGTTGTTTGTTGCACTTTCCCTTACTGCAAAAACATAAATAAAATATTTGCTGTGCTCTAGTGTTACAGTGATTGTAGCGGTGTATGGTACTACAGTGTATGGTAGAACATAGTTTAGTTTGTACCTGGCCACAATGCATAGTTTTTGCTAATATGTGGCCATGTTGATGTCCTCAATATACTTTTTACTTTTTAAAAACATAGGCATGCTCTCTTATAGGCAAGGCCATATTCTTGGTAATACCCAATCAGATTAATTAACGTGAAACACAGTTCTTAAATGTTGGGCTTGATAATGACTTTCCCACAATTGCTATTTTGGGTGCTTTCTTACTAGCCTGAGGAAATGACAAGATTGAGAAGCATGAACAGACAACTCCAGATAAATGTTGACTGTACACTGAAAGAAGTTGACCTCCTTCAATCTAGAGGTATAGACTTGATTGTTTGGTAAACCATAAGTCATAGAATGCTATTTTAAACTGCTTAAATGGCAATCATTTGGGTTTCATAGATTTAGGGACAGCTTTTATTCATTATAAGAATGACTGTTTAAAGAGATTCCCACACTCCGTGAATCAGACTCTGTCAAGAACTAATATCACTTCGGCAGCTGCATCATTTGTTCTCATTGTTTTATACTGTTACATTGCATTGCATTGAATTGATCCTTTTAGGCATTTAACATGAGTGTTTCATACATTAATGGATATTATTTCTGATATAGTTTATATAATGTGATAGCCTTCCAAAATATTGTGACAAAAAAAGAGAGCTCAAAGTAAAATATCTGAGTTCTTGATTTTAAAAGAAATTCTGTTACAGTAGAAGCTCTCTTATCTTTGAGTTAGCCAACTCGTCAAGTTAGAGAAGGACTTTCTTTCCCATATACTGCCTCTCCCATTGATTACATGTACTGCTTATACTAGTGAACTATACTGCTGCAGTTAAAATTAATGTTTCATAACTAACAGGAATTCATGAGAATACTTCTCTTTTAAAAACTGTCTTTGGCTTTTATATAGTCAAGCATAAAATTATAGGAACCATTAATTAGATTTAATTAAAAACAAGTGGAAAAGGAAGGAATTTGTAAGAAAGTGTCCTTGGTATATCATGTGCTGGATTCTGAAGAAACAAAAACACAAAATTATAAATGAATGTTCAGCAGATTAGGGCCCTACTGCCTGTTTTTATAAATAGAAGTTTTAGTGAAACAGACATGCTCATTTGTTTATCTAGTGTCTGTGACTTCCTTTGTGTTTCAAGGACAGAGTTGAATACTTGTAACAGATAGTATTGCAAGTCTACAAACTCTAAGTTACTGTCTGGCTTTTGACAGAAAGTTTGCAGACACTTGACTTTAGGTTAGCATGAACATGGTTTATGTAAGACAGTATGAAGTAGTCCTTATTCAGTATTAAAATACTGCTGTATTGAGGATGCAGTGCAGTGATAGAATATTTACATAGCATATACAATCCCTGGGGATTTTAGTCCTCGACACTTCCATAAGAACAATAGAAGAAAACCCTGCTATATTTATGTTACATTAAAGGTGTTGTGTAATTTTTCTTAACAGTCCTTTGTTTGAATCAGCCTTCTCCCAAACCTTGATATTCTTAATTATGGCAGCTAAGAGAGCTTCTACAGTACTTTAAGAGTAGTGTACAAATATGGTGTCAAGCAGTTGAACTAAAGCTATGGAGCCATCTGAACGTGAAAGTTGAGCTATCAAGCCAGGTTCTCATTTTCAAAAGCCTCATTACTCTATGTAGCCTACTAGCTTTAAGCAGTGAAAGAATCACTATGCATAATATGTAGGGTATATCAACCATTGCTATTATGTGATTACATCAACTTTTTTACTGATGTGGTCTTTGGAGCAAAACAAAAATCAATAACATTTGATTAGGATGTTTCTAGTAAGCTTTCTGTGAACTGCATAGTAGATCATCAACTGTAACTTAAGTGACTGAAAAAATGCATATGCAGCAGCAGTTAATATATCAAGTAGTAGTGTGGCTTTCATGAGCTATAGGAATTTTTTAAATTCTCTTTAAAATAGCCTATTTAACTGGATGAAACTTTGATAGTAGGACCTATTAAAGTTTTTTAAGGAAGGAGCTGTGGTTTTGGTATGTATTGACCAAATGAGATCTCTTTTTGTACTTAAGATTTAGAAATGTTTGAGGGGTCCACATATGGTATACTTTCTTCTAAATTGTTTTTGGCAGTGGGGAGGTGCATTTTCAAGCAAATAAATCATTGCATGACTTGATGAAAAGCAGCTTAATATTTGATTTGTAGTAAGGAACTTTTTCACTGGGAAAAAAACCCCAATACTCAAAAACAGCAGGAGACTCGGTACAGTAGACCATCCTGTGTGTCCCAGCTGAGGTGGATTTCAGTACAGTAGTAGGCAGAGTACAGGAGGGAAGGGGAGAGCCAGAACTGACACCTACTGCAATCTGCTCTGGAAGGAGTCAGTCACAATAGGCTACGTCACTGATAGAGACATAGTAAGCCAGTGGACACATCCAAGAAAACTTGGTGTCAGCAAGTCTCGGGGTTAGTTTACTCTGAAATTTGCACAGTATCATCACTAATAAGTCCACAGGGTTATGTAACTTATGCATTTTTCCTTAGATGGCTTTATGATAAATTATGAAAATAAGTGTCAAATCTTCTTTCAAATTTTTTTTCATTAGACCAAACAGGTCCACCATTATTGTTTTTTTTTCTTGCTTTACACTCTTTAAATGTCCCATATGCTGAATTCTGCTTCTTAAAGGTGCTAGCCTTATAAAAATATTCCTTTAGGTAATACATTGTAGACACACACAGTGGTTTACTGGTCTGCTTGGATATTTTCTCACAATCATAAAGAGGATAGGATAATGTAATGACATTTGAAACACTGGAAAACATTTTCTCTTCCCACATGTTTCATTAATATATTTTCTTTTAAAAAGATCAAATGATAAAAGAAAAACTCCTAAACACCTGTGGTTTTCTTCTTTTCTTTGAAGGAAACTTTGATCCAAAAGCCATGAATAATTTTTATGACCACATAGAACCTGGCCCAGTAGTACCACCGAAGCCATCTAAAAAAGGTTAGTAGAATCATAGCATGGATACTGTAGAAGTTAAATAAGTTTCTGGAGAAATTTTTATTTAAACTATTCATTAGAATGTGTTCCTCATAAAAATGTTATCCATATTAATGTGGCAATAATGAAATAGTCCCCAAACTTTATTTTTTACAAAACATTAAAATTGTTGTAAGGCATAATGATGATTTCTTTAGCATAATGAAACTATACTCTTGAATGAAAATTCTGCTAGAACAATAAGGATCTTGGAAAACTTTCAGTAGAGTTTGTACATAAGAATTCTTTTGCTGCTTGATAAACAGAAGGTAAGTCTGATAGGGATATGATTGTTTTTTCATCAAGAACAAAGCAAGTCCTAAATTGTTTTCCGTATCTTACAATAAATGATTAAATGTAGATTGATCACTCATTTTCTATCTTATTCTTAACAGGCTATGTTGTTTTATAGGTCTCAATATACAACTAATATCCAGAGTTCATATTTTAATCCTTTTGGATTAAGCAATTCAAGACAGTTTGATTATGAAGGCATATTGAATAGTAAGAGTGCATAATTTCTAGTTCATTTATGGATTGCATCTTAGGAGCTGGTCTCTTTATTGTTTACTACTACTGTAAATGTTTTATCTGGTCTACATATGAAATAGTGTAGTGATTTCTAAAAATGGCTCAAAATGAATATTAGTGGATGACTGCCAAATACTAAATTTGTCACTGTGGCAACGTTATATGTATGTAGTTTCAAGCTGAAAGCCGTTGGGTTATAAATCATTAATCACTTTAGCCTTTTAGGTTCATAAAATATGCATCTTTAAACTTGATTTTGCCTCAGTACCTTCTAAAGTGTTATCTCTTACAGGTAGGCTAGCAGATGGACTATAGTTAAATGATTCGATGGCTGTCATAGAAGAAATGACCAAAAATCCAAGCAGTCCATCACATTTAAAATGTTGAAATTTCTTGAATATTATCATCTCCAAGGAGCTAGATACAAAGCCATACCTTTCCCTGTGCAAGGCCAGTGAACTATTGTTATTGTCTTGGTGCTAGGCATGAGGTCAGGGCTTCAGATGTACCAAGAAGATCCTTATAACTGAATCTTTCTGCTAGCCCTCAATTGTTAAGTACTTTGAAGGAAATTTGATGTTTGGTTTTTTTGTTTGTTGATTTTTGTGGTTTTTTTGGTTTTGGGTTTTTTTTTTGTTTGTTTGTTTGTTTGTTTTTGTTGTTTTGTTTTGTTTTCCCTGAGACAGGGTTTCTCCGTGTTATTTTGGTGCCTGTCCTGGATCTCGCTCTGTAGACCAGGCTGGCCTCGAACTCACAGAGATTCACCTGGCTCTGCCTCCCAAATGCTGGGATTAAAGGCGTGCACCACCGCCCTGGCTACATTTACTCTTCTTGCTCTGCTAATAGAGTTTTTGCTTTTAGTGTATAACCACCATTCTTAGAATTCTGAGGCGGTACTTTCAAAGGTGAATTGTACTGAGGGATTACATATGGGATCAGGAGTGATTAGAAAATGCAAGGTCTTTATTTGCTCTTAAAGGCAAATAATAGATAGTGTGCTAGTTGGCATTTTAATGCAGCGGTTGCTTACTAATAACTTGTACATTCATAACATATAGGAACAGTATTCTGGCATGAAATTGAAATCCCTGAAATGAGTTGGGAGCCCATGTTTGTCACTACATAGTATTCTTTGGAGTTGCTTCCATTTTTCAAGGATCAGTATTCTCTGTGCATTCCCGTCTGGTCTCTGCCTCCTCAGTGCTCAGATTACAAGAATGAAGCATTACATTTATCATTTAACCTCAGACACAAATGCACGGTGATGTGAAACTGAGTGAGTGCAGGAACAGTCCTTGTGAACCCGTTTACTCTTGCTGAGGAATGATTTCACCCCTCAGTACCTTTGCTTTTTTTTATGCAGACTCCTCAGATCCCTGCACGATTGAGAGAAAAGCCCGAAGAATTAGTGTGACTTCCAAAGTACAGGCAGATGTCCATGAATCCCAGGCAGCAGCTGCAGACGGTTTGTACCCATGTCTCCGGATTATGTTAATTTACATAGAGTATCGTAACTAGAACATGTCTTTAGATTTACCTTTGAAAATTACAGTCCAAATGCAGAATGCTAAATGCTATAGTAGATCCTTGGTGTTTGCTAAAAATGGTTTTAAAAGATACTTTTTTCTTAATTTATGCATGATTTATATGTACATCTCAATTTGGACTGGCCACATTTCACATATTCAGTAGTCACCTATGGATACCTTATTTGACAGGCCAACTCTCTAGAAAGCAAGGCAAAATAATTTTCAAATCTGTTGCAAGTTCTGGGTTTGATATGATTTTCACACAATAGGACTTTTCCTAGAGACTGAAATGATCCATTCTGAAGGGAAGCTGGTTAAGGCAGGAAATACACCACTCAAAAAAGCTTCAAGAAATCCCTGAAACTGACAGGATTCAGGATGCTTTACTGAAACGAACTCACCCAAAATAATGCAACTTAGAACAGGATTTTTCAGACTGGGCTCCCTAAATAGGATGTTCTTTAATCTGTACCTATGCTTACAGGTGTGCAGTGTACTCCAGGTGTCCAATATTCACAAGCTGTATCACATGCTCATTTCAAGTTTGAGGATAGCAACTATCATTCTGTCCCTTGTGCTCTGATAAGCAACTCTCCCCATATTCCTGTAACTCCAATAAAGCTCATTGGTTTAACAAGTAAAAATATTCTCCCACAAATGTCTAATACTTCTTCAGCTTTATGTGCTGACATCCAATTGAAAGCAGGTCTCTAAAAATATTAATATATCTTCGTAGTGGAATACTTACACATTCCACATTATATATGCTAAATCACCTTAATTTGCAAATGAAAAAGTAACGTAAGAAGGAGCAAGATACATTGAAAGTACCTTGTTCATATTTTCCTTTACCATTAGGATATGTTAGGAAAAGTAACTTGTTCATTTCTCATTGAAACACTATTTACTTGTTTTTTGTTTGGTTTGGTTTTGGTTTTTCAAAGCAATGTTTCTCAGTGTAACAGCCCTGGCTGTTCTGGAGCTAGCTTTGTAGACCAGGCTGGCCTGGAACTCAAAGAGAACCCCTGCCTCTGCCTTCTGATGGGATTAAAGGTGTGTGCCATCACTGCCTGACTTCTATTTCCTATTTTTAATTACGTGCCTTTGAGCAATTTGTCTTCTATATTATAAACACTATACAAGCAATATTGATTGAAGTATTTGCGAGGCTCTTCATTTTTATGAAAATATAGACTGTTGTGTAACTCAGAACTTACTCGGGCTCTTTATACAGTTTTTATTGTATGTTGTACAAAATTCTTTCATACATGTCCTTCGATCATACTCTCTGTTCCTCCTTAGTTCTGACTTGTACATAAATATTTTTTAATAAATACTTTCTACAAGGTAGTCTACAAACTGCTTTTAAATATGCCAGAAAGATGATTGTTCATGTAAATCAAATTGAACATTCTAAAATGCTACTTTTTTTAAAATGAATTGTATAGTTTCATAGAACCAAAAATAGCTTTTTTTGGCCAGTTACCTTATAGTGATTCATGATTTCAAATTAAGTTAGCGTGATACTAAACAGGTAAGATAGACTGAGTTGATGAGGTTAAAGAGGCCTTTTGGTTGTTTACATAGTTTTGAATACTATTTTCAAAGGCTGCATTTGGAAATGACATAAAAACAATATAACAACTAAGAATTTGATTTGTTAACCTTTTTTACTCCGTGATACTCATAGAATTAAAAAGTCACCTGTCCTAAGGCTAAATTGGGAATTTTAGAACCTGTCTATAAAAACCTCTATGGCAGTAGTTTATTCCTAGCAAGGCAACTTAAGGTAGCACTGAAACATGCCCAGCTCCTGTTTGTGCTCACGAGAATAGGCTGAAGAGCCCAGTGAATTGATTCTAACAAAAGATCACCTTTCTGATCAAGGCTTAGAGTCTCCTTATAGAACAAAGTTTAGGGTTTAAACCTGCTTATTTGACCTCATGAAGTCACAAAAGAAAGATAATTTGGTAAGCTGGAAGTTACCTACTTGGTTTTCAGTGAAAAATAGGCTTAGCCCAAAACAACTGCCAAAGCCTCACCAAATCTCCATTTCCTGGCCTTTCTAAATGGATATTAAGTATTACCTTAGATCTTAATTTCATTGCCACTTAATAGGAACGGTTTCCAATGTTCTCTAGGTGAGTTCTCTGAGCCTCCCTACCTTGCCTTCAGCTCCTAGGGCTAATCCATCAGCTCTGTGGCTCTCTATCCAGTGATCTCTCAATAGAGGGAGTGTCCAACAAGGCAGACTTGCCAAATGAACTCTAGGAGCACAGCCCTTTTGAGCCTAAGGCCAGAGAAAATCAAGACTTAAAAGGAATACAAGTTTTGAGTTTTTATGAAATCCTAAAGATCAACCTAAATTTACTATCATTTGATATTGCCAGGTATAGACATTTTTCAAAAAGTAATATATGAATAACCTTTTTTTGGCAAAGAGGAACAATTCTGAGAACAAAAGAATCATGTATATAGAATAAATTTTCGTTTTATAAATAGCTGTGAAGGCTTGTTCCCTTTTCACTATTCTGGGAACAACTTTTATTAGGAATTTTACCTGCCATTGATGAAGCATTAATATAAGACACATGTGTATTCCTGGAAGCAAATGTCTCATGAAATAAGGTATCCATTTTCTCAGCCATTTACTGTTCTGTGGACAGTACTTGAAGACAGGAAAGTCATAGAGAAGACAGAATTCACTGAATATGCTGTCAAATATTTCTCAAATTTTCTTTTCATTCAGCTGGAACACAGCTTAATTAATGGGTAACAAACTAGGAAGGCCGTCTTATTGGTGAAATTATTAAGGCCACTCCACGTAGTTAAAGGGAGATTTATTTAATGGCGTAACTTACAAATTAAGGAATAGGTAGGTCGCGGAGTCTGGGGAAGGTGTATCACAGTCCAGCGGTGTTCTCTGGAGCTCTGCTCAGTCCACCTCTCCAGTCCAGGGTCCCGCAACAGAGAGAGCGCCCGCCGATCCAGATCTCGGGTCCCCTGGCGCCTCCCTTGGCCCCGCCTTGTAGGCGTGACAGTTGCCGAAGTCTCAATGGGGGTTGGAACTTCCAGATCAAAGCTGGAATGGCTACCCACTACACCGTCTATTCTGGCCTTCTCCACATCCTTGTCTTAGAGCACAAAAATGAGTGTGTTTAGAACAAAGTGGAACCTGTATCCAGCTTTGTGTACTTTCGGTTTTCCAGTAGTGTGGTTACTGATTAGCTTACACACTGGGTAAGGTAGAAAGTTCTTCCCTTTTGTCTTTGTGGTAGTTTATCATTTTAGTTTGGTCAGTTTGGGTGATGCTTGGAAAAAACAACTTGATCTAGCTCCATTTCTCTTGAATCCCCTTTCCTTAGAACATATAAGTGGCTGCAGACAGAGTCCTCGGACACAACCTCGAGATGAGGATTATGAAGGGGCTCCATGGAATTGTGACAGCTGTACCTTTCTCAACCACCCTGCACTGAACCGCTGTGAACAGTGTGAGATGCCGCGGTACACTTGAGTTCAGAAGAATTGTCACCGAGTTGAGGGTGAAAAGTCACCACTTTGAGCACTCACTGGAAGAAAAGGAAACCTCGGGATTGTGTTCATCTGCCCAGCCTTTTCATTTCTTGATTGCACGGGGGGAGGAGGAGTGTGGCCACTGGGCTCACAAAGGAAAAATGGGGAGGTCTTTCTTTTTTTCCTTTCTTAACTCATTACAGAGTGAGAGGTGGAAGGGGATACTTGAAACTGGGAAAGGATTCACTCCTGAAAGAATGTACACAGAGAAGTTAAGGGCTTCTGCGGAGTCCCATTGTTAAAGTTCCTGCTGAGTGGCTCTTACTTTCTAAAGGGGAATTCTGAATTATGGTAGGACTTGTTACAGTTTATGCAGAAAAACTGTGAATTCCAGGGCAGACTTACTTGGTTACAGCTTTCTGGAAACCAAGGCTCCCTGTGCCTCTTCCTGCTGCTTCCTGTGAAGAGATGAACAGGAAATAGCACCTGGGATATGCTTTATTTTCTTTTTTGCAAAATAATGAGTTTATTTGTAATTGCTGCTTTTTTCAGGGGTAATTTCAAACACACATTCATACGCAAACAGGATACTTTAAAATGTGATTTGTAGTAGTCAGGAATTAGGCATATCATGCCCTTTGTGAGGAAGTACAATCAGAGGTAATAATATCTCTTTTGCTGCGTCGACACTGGTAACTAAGACCTCCTTATGCCACATAAATTATTGTATACTTTTCTTAGGTTATTGATTTTAAAAGTAATGAAGTATGGTTTTATAAAATGACATTCTCAAAAAACCATGCTTTGCCAGTAGCACAGTGAATGTATGCCAAATGAAAGTCACTCAAAAACCCATTTGGAAATCCTGAGCTCAGCTGTGGTTCTTAAGAAATACTTGCAGTATATAGGGTCCCCCACTTCTGGTTTGTGATGAATACATGATGTTTACAGCACTAAAAATACTTTGTACCATAGTCTGATTTAGCTGAAAAAATCAATATGAGCTATTTATTTGCACATGTGTTAACCAGCCAATGAGAGGGAAATTGAAGTTGACCAACATCATAAAGTTGCATTATTTGAGTTGTAAGAGAAGACTACTCACAAAATCTGATTGGGCTGGGGATACAGCTCAGTGGAAGTGCACTAGCCTAGCATACACAAGGTGCTCTAGGTTTGAAAAGAAAAAGAAAAAATACTATCAAAACAATAATGTATACAGGGGGTTTTGAATTTTTTTTTAAGTTGAATAGACATCATACTGAATTCTGGCAGTTCAGGGAATACTAAAGCACTACTTATGAGACAGAATGCAGGTGTGGATACACTGAAGAAGATAATAAGTCAGGCCACTTGCCATGATGTATCATGAGAAAATTAATAATATTATATTTAAGTAAGTTCTCTGCCTTAAATTTTATTCTTGGCTCAGAATTGAATTTTGGAATCTCTCCCCATTTTGGTGAAGATAGACAGCAATAAAGTTGGTAGGTTTCTCCATCCTGAAGAATTGTACCTGAAGAACTACTAGGTCCGCCCCCCTGCTCCTGTTACACACTTTGTACTGTCACTGTATTCTAATTTAGCATTAGTCTCTGGCAGACCTGGAGAAACAAGCTGCGCTCCCAGCATAATGAAACCAAAGGCATAACTCACTGTAGTTTTCTATCAGAACCATGATTTTGCACACTGCATATAGCCTTCATCTGTGGAGAATGCCCCAAGTACATCCATTTGTCTCACGAAGAGCATGATTCTGTAATTACTAGTAAATCTCTCTCCGCCAACTGTGGCAAAACTGTGAAAATAGCAATGATGGAAAAGCAGACAGGCGCAGAACCATGGATTTGGAAAGGGTGAAGGACTTGTAACATGGCTAGTCTCTTCTTGTCAATCCCCAATACCAGTCTAGCAGTCCTACTGTTCTTTAAGGTGCCCTTGCCGTTGTATGGTTTCTTGTCTCCCTTAGTGATGGACAACTCCACTTGCTGTTAACCAAACAAGTTAGGGGAACATATATACTACTTGGTATTCTACCTAAAAGATGTACAAGTATCCATAGTGAGATGCTGAAATACCAACAGTTAGTGTGGCACTTGTTAGTTGAAAATGAAAGTAGCATGTGTGAAAAGTCTGATGCTTTATTAAAACCATGTAGATGATATTAAAACTATTGCATGAAAACACGCCAAGGTCAATAAGCTGTTAACATACAGTAGATGCATGGTTTCAGTCCTTTGATGATATATCTAGTCAGTCATAGCTTTCACCTGACAAAAAAAATGAGGCAACAGTTGATTTGCTTGGTTTAAAAGGTGGTTATGAGACATCAGAAGGACTTTAAGAAAGTTTTGTACATGTTAAGTTTTAGTTGTTCACAAGTTTCATATGCCTACATAGGCTGTATTCAGTTCCTAAAAATGAACAGAATAACTTGACACTGGTTAATTTGATACATTTAACTGTTCCATATATAGACTGCTCCTTACCTATGACCAGTTCGAATAAGAATTCATTGAACCTTCCAGTTCTTTTTTTTTCCAGAATGTTCTCCTGGTCAGATTGGTATGCATAAGTGGGTGGAATATAGTGGTAAGGTAGAACTTGGGTGATAACCGGCTGCTGAGTTGTCCGTGCCCTTTGGATCAGTTGGTGCACTCTTGTTTCGTGTGAGAGGCTTGCTTTCATAAAATACTAGTTTAATGTATCTGGTAACACAGACCTGACTCTACAGTTTTCATTATTTCACTGTTGTTGTAAACTGGGTTTTTAGGAAGCATGGTTGCCATTGTGTTAAAAGAGCATTGCCCCCTTCAGTTTTGGAGTTCTTCAAGTTTAAAGTGAAAATAGAAGAGCCAGAAACCTGTAAGCACTGTAAAATGTTTTGAATTGATACTGAGCTAGTTTGGGAGAAAGTAGAGGCAGGGGATATTAAAGAAACAAAAGAAATGTGTTGTACAGATTTGTAGTTTTAGAACAGATTAATGATGGTGGAGGAGAGTGTTGCTAATGTGTTCATTTCCCAGGAAGAAATGGGAAGAGTAATATGCAGTTTAATGTTTAAGGAGCTGGTCTCAATGTTAGTACTTTCTAATTATAAAAGAAATCAATGTTTCCTTAAATTTTGTCATTGGTTTGTCACAGATATCTAAGGGTTCATTTCCAACTCTCTGTGGCAACTCAGTTTTATATAGTCTTTTAAAGAGGTTAATTGTTTATGTATTTCTGACAGTATGAAGAGAAAGAATATGAGGCATAGAAGAACTGTCTTTTAGAAATATCAGTGATGTATCCTGGAATGTGAAGATGTCCCTTTAAGATTACAAATTGAATTATTTTAATATTGTACCACTGTTAGACCTTGAATGAATCCATGTTGCAGTGTGTGTGTCCATATATCTCTAGAGAAAAGGAAATGACAGTTGAAATGTTACTTAAAAACTCAGAATTGGGCACTGTCTGTATTGCGCCACTACTGTGTCTTTTTTAAAGAATTAACAGTATTTCCCTCTTGTGAAAGTTAATTCTGATGATGTTTCATATTCACCAGATTTTTTCTGTATTATCTGCATCCCCAAATATTTCAAGTAGAATTGTGCATGGCTTGGGCATTCAGAGATAACAGAATGAGTCCATTTTAATTTCTAAAGCCATAAAAAGTTGCTTTGAGACTGAATAGTTCTGAGTTCTTATTTATAACTACACCGTTGTCCATGTTTCTTTCCCTACTGTAAAAGAATTGATCATTTTCTTCATTAAAGCAGCAAGAAATTAATTAAACCTTGTACATACCATGTCTCTTAGATTTCTGTGTACGTTGTGAAGGACATTATTTTGAGAAAAAATTGTACAAAGGCATATTAAAAGGCTATGCATGCACCGTACCTCCAAGCAGTACATCTTCAGAAAGTCAAAGATTCCTGCGAAATAAATTAATAAACTAAAAACAAGCTCTACATTCTGCATTTTTTCTGTGAACTAGTTCTGCTTCTAAACACTCAGGTTTCTGCATTGCAGAGCTAGTTGGCATATTCCCCATATTTTAATGCATGCAGTGACTTTAGGCTTGAGTTATCATTAGGTACCCATTACCCCTGACTTGAATGTTTGGCCAAATCATGGATAAATAGGTTTTATAGAAAGTTTGGAAAAAGTTAGAAACTCAAATGCTTCATTTCATTCAACATTATTTACAAAAGAATGAGTAATTTGCTTTTGTAAAGTATCATTTATAACTAGTTTTTCAAAGACAAAAGAATCACAGAGGCCCTAACGAATTTGCCTGCAGTCTACTGAGCTTTTCTACCTTCTGCAGAGAAATCACCACAGGTGGATTATAACCTTGTCTTTGAATAGGACTTTCTACATGACTGATAGATAAAAATTACAAGCAGAAACAATTCTATGATACCCCACTTACTCATTGGTCACCTGCCAAAAATTATATGTAAGCAGTCTTCATCCTTGGCATTACCTCTGGATTAGTTTGAAAGAATTCTCAGTCTATTCATTTGTAAATACACTAGGCTAAGCACATTGTACTCATGGCATCTTAATTATTGAATACCCAATGTTGAATTCCCCTAATAGGTATCAGACTTTTAAAGTAAACTTTCCTAAATTAAAATATAAACAGAACACTTGAAATACATAGCCCTTAAATCTTTTTACATATACACACACAAATGAATTTGCATATTTTTCCTCTTTACTGTTGTAAGCCATTAATGAGAATGTGTTCATAAGGACACTTAAACCATTTCGTTAGGCTGTATAACATCATACAGGTTTTGTAAGGGGAAAACATGGCATGCTATCCCTAAAGAAAATTGTGAGTCCAGGACAGCCTGGGTTATAATGGTGAGACACACCCCCGTGGGGATTATATGAATACCTTCTTCCATCTTCCATATCCCAGGTTGTCATTTAAATGATTGATTCTGAAGTAGTTATTTCAGATATTTGTTAACTACGCTGGTGGTTTTCTGTGGTGCTCGTTCTTGTAGTTAACATTTGTGAGGAGTGTGTTACCCAGATTGGTTTGTCTTCAACTACTGGCCAGGGCCTAGGGATGTAGCTCAATAGTAAGACACATATGCCATGTGTGAGGCCATGGTTTTGATGCTCAGCACCACACCATCACCAAAAAAGAAAATGAGATTCTGACCAGCTTAATTTCCATAAGGAAGACTATGGGATAGTTGGGGGATGTTTGTGTGTTTTGGGGGCTGCCCAGTGTTTGTTTCCCAACTGCACTTCCCCCAAAAAAAACTTCACTAGACTACCCTGTTCATGTGACATTACCCAGGTAATGTTTTGTGGTGGATATTTCAAAGACAGTAGTATAATAAGCTGGATGTGGAGAATCATGCCTCCACTTAGGGGGACTAAGGCAGGGTGATCATGAGCTTTAAGGCCACAAACCTTAAACATGCTAAACAGATGTTCCATTGCTGAGCTACATACCCAACCTGTGAATAAAACTAAGTTTTGCATGTTTCAGATTCTCAGAAACTAATTGCATCTCTTGTCCTGCCTTTTGAACATTGATTGGTAAACTAGGCAAATACATACTGCAAGAGGTGTGATGAAGCCTAGCTTTGTAGACCTGACTTGTGATTTGGGAATTGAGTGCTACTTACTGCTTTAAGTTAGTGTATCCTTTTGACTTTCTGGTGCATTACTTTCTGGGTTCTAGACAGTTTTCAGGTAATTCTATTCCCTTGATAAGAACTGGTGTCTGCAAAGGGAGAGACAGTGTCTTCTGAACATACAGGACTGCTGCACTAACGAACTCAAAGCAATTGTGGTTCCTGTGCAACATCAAACCAGTCAGCATTCCAGCATGGCGGGAGGAAGGGCTCACAAGCTCCCACCCTTAGCTGAGGAGTACTGGTGGTGGTGGTTGCTAGGGCGAGTGAAGTCAATTTTCTTTTAAGTATGTGGCCTCTGGTAAGCTGACCATCATCCAAGGATGGTCCTACACCTGTATGTATATGGACAGCACAAATGGTACTTGGTGGGATTTGAGTGTGAGTGTGAGTGTGTGTGTGTGTGTGTGTGTGTGTGTGTGTGTGTGTGTGTGTGTGTGTGTAAAAAGGGTGGCATGAAGTTGGGAAAGGGGTGAAATCTAGGAACTGCTAATGTGCGCTTTGTTCTCTTCTCCCTCCTGGTCCCTATTCTTCCCTTCCTCTCTGTTCCCATCTCCATCTCTCCTCTCTTCCCTCTCCTCTTGTCTCTCTCCTCTTCCTCCCCACCCACTGTTCAACTACCTATGGGTCTGGAGCCAACACCATTTGATGGAGAGACTCCTATAATAAAAAAGAATACGAAATTTCAAAATGAAATTTTCAGTGCAGGGGTTTGAAAGACACCGGGTAGGTGAAGGACATGAGCTTCCGCTTCATAAGCTTTGTGACAAATCTGCCTTTTTACATTAGATGTGGTTCTTAACACCCGGAGGGGTTTCCTTTCACTTTTTTTTTTTTTTTTTTTTTTTTTTTTTTTTTTTGGTTTTTCGAGACAGGGTTTCTCTGTGTAGCTTTGCGCCTTTCCTGGAACTCACTTGGTAGTCCAGGCTGGCCTCGAACTCACAGAGATCCGCCTGGCTCTGCCTCCCGAGTGCTGGGATTAAAGGCGTGCGCCACCACCGCCCGGCTCCTTTCACTTTTGAAAAGTATATACAATTAATGATAATTACGTATTGTTTTCTATACTTTAACATTTATGTGAATGATGCTCTCCATGAAAAGTTTATGCAACTCATTTTTCCCATCAGCATTTTAATTGGGAAATTTATCCTTTCAGATATACTTACATATTCTAGTTCTTCAAATTGCCATATAGGATTCAATTATGTGACTATCAGAATTTATCTATTCCCTTATTGCAGTTTTCCCATTTAAAAAAAAAAAAAAAACAACAGTAGTTTGTAAAATAAAACCAAAAATCCCAAAATATATTGTATGAAATTCTCAACAAATGAATGAAAATCTTTTAAGGAAAAAACTGACTGTTGGATATAGTAGCTCAGACTTGTTATCTCGGCACTCAGGAGAGGATCTTAAGTTTGTAACCAGCCTTGTCTACAGAGTGAGAGACCCTGCCTCAGAGAAACAAAGCACAACTGCAAGTGGCTGGCCATGTTGGTATGCAGGCATAGTGTGGTTAACGCATGTCTAAGATATTAATAGTACATATAATAAGCTGGACATGGAGGATCATGCTTATAATGCCATCCCTCAGGAGGCTGGAGCAGAACCAAGATTTCAAGGCTAGCCTATGCATACCAAGAACCTGTCTGAAAAAACCTTCCTGTCACTTCTGGCCATTTCTAAATGCCAGCCACCAGTTCTGTTTTCTTTTAAATCAGTAGGTGTAGTATAGTCATCTGATTTAAGTGTGGGTGATTCAGGAAATAAATATTTCAAGGTATTGGAGAAGAGGAGCAAACAGCACATTGCCCTACACTCTATTTGACAAGGAATCAGAAAGATTGCAGTTTTCCCATTTAAAAAAAAAAACAACAACAGTAGTTTGTAAAATAAAACCACCCATGACAAAAAGATGGATTTCAAGATCATGATTTCACTTTTTCTTCCCGAATTCCCCATTATAACTAATAAAAATATTTTTCAGGGTTGGAAATAGGGAAGAGTGCCCTCAGAGGATCAGATGGGGGTATATTGAGGACATTCGCTGCCAGTGTCAGACAGGGCTCATGAACAGCCCAACGCTGAGCAGCAAGCCAATGAAATGGTTGAGAACTGGACAAGAAGAAGTAGATTACAGCATTTGCCTTCTGTCTCATTTGGCATCAGCACTCACAAAAGAGAGGCACTTAGGAAAACTTGTTTCTCAACTTGTTGAGGGGCATAAGGCACCAGGTAATTGTAAACCGCCACCATGAACATAGAAACCATGCATGGCTGCCCGAGTGTTCCGGGGAGTGCTGTCTTAATGCTAATAAATTGTGAAAACACTCCCCATCTTTGCTGCTTACTGAGAGACAAAGAAAAAAACTGGCACTTAGCAAAACAGTGAACTTCCCAATCTTTCTAATACTTCATATCAAATGATTTGCAACCAAGAAAAATAAAAACTATCGAAGAAGGGTAGCACTTTTCATTTCTATTAGACTTTAAAGGATCCAACCAGTGTGAGCTACATGGCATTTGCAATTTTCTTTTATGAGACAGTGTCTTGTATAGGTCACACTATCCTCATACTTACTATGTAGCCAAAGATGGCCTTGAACACTCCATTCTCTTGCTTAGATGCCCCAGTGCTGAAATGACAGACGTTCACCTCATTCCACCTATGCATTGCTCGGTGTGGAACCCAGGACTTCTTGCATGTTAGCCAAGCACTCTTCCACTGAACTGTGTTCCTAGCACTTGGAAAAACTGTTACAGTCAGCAAATGGGGGAAAAGAAGGAACAAAACTTAAGTACGGTCTTAATTCCAAACAACTTGAATCAATATTGTGTTTCTCTAAAAGAAAAAGATCAGAAAAGGTAGCATTCAAGTAAAAAAAATGATTTTTTCTAACTAACTTGTACAATGCAAGTACAAAAGAAGTGAACCAATGGAGAAACCAGAGGAAATGGCTAAAGAGATGAAGAGCTTACATAAAATTATAGGACTGGGGAGACTGCTCAGTGGGTAAAGGGGGACCGTAGTTTGGATGCCCAGCAATTATGTACAAAGCCTGGTATGGTAGCATGCAACTGTAACCCCAGCTCTAGCAGACAGAAACAGGCAAATGACGGGGTTTACTAGCCTGAC